TCACATTCAAACTAAATAAATAATGTAATAATAAAACATGTATGTATTTTAAAAATAGTTGCATGTATATGTATTAGGGCTGCCCTCGACTAAGGATTTTTCTGGTCGACTAGTAGTCGTTAATTTGAACTATTAGTTGACTAATTGCGTGTTTATTAATAAACCATTTAAATCATTAAAGTTGTTTAAATCTTCAGTTGATTTCATCTAAAGCCCGGGATACACTGCACGATTTTAGCAATCCTATAAGATCATTACTTTATCACACTGTGCGACATGGATGGTTTAAACTTGGGTACGACAAGCATGTAGACTACGATGATGACACCTATTGAATCGTAGGCAGCGACGGCTGCGACACACGTTAGCGCAACGTCATCAGCATGCGCTAGTGGTAAACAAATACCGGTACATCAAGATGGATCGCGCTTTGGCAATAGTGCTTTTCATGTGTGCTGAAACAAGGAAGAGGGCAATATGGACCCGCTCATGGCTCGGGAAAAGAGGACAACTTGGGATGCCAGTTTTGCACAGGGAGCTTGGCAGCTGCAGTTCCTCCGCTATCTCCTTCCATGCTATGTCCTTTTGCCAGTTTTGCACAGGGATCTTGGCAGCTGCAGTTCCTCCGCTATCTCCTTCCATGCTATGTTCTTTTTGGTGCGGTCATGATAGCAGCTAGAGGACACATCATACAAACATGCCCTCTGCTGCCACAACTCAACAAGAATGTGTTCTTTATGGGTATCCCACAGACCAGTATACCTTCTACTTTTTTTTGCCTCCGTGGCATTGAAATTGACTTTTTTTTGCCTCCATGGCATTGAAATTTTAGCGCCACTGGTTGCGTGGATCAATACGTCATTTCATGTTGCAATTTCATTGGCTGCTGAGTAGACGCAGGTCATTGCAGCAAACACACTGTGCGTTGATCATGCTGAATTTCGGACACTGTCAGAAAACTATCGTATGCTATCTTTGGTCGCAAGACCAGGAAAATGCCCATCTTTGAACCTCTCTCACTGTACGACATAGGACCACCGATTAAGAGCCACGCTCACAGAAATCGCCACGATTGCTTCATGATGGCAATCTTTCGTCTGGGACAGCCAAAAATCGTGCCGTGTATCCCGGGCTTAAGGCTGTGGCTGAAGTCAGTTGTAGTTCTTGTGTTTGTCTTGTTTCTCTTTCCTTCAGTGATTCTGCTTGTTAACAGCAGCTGTTCATCAGTGTCTGAATTCACTCATTAGTGTTCATTCTCTCTGTCAGGTGGACTGTATTAGTAAACTCATGTAGGGAATAGTGAATGAGGGTGTAGGGTGTGATTTGAAACACAGCCTCTGAGTTTCGACTTTGAACGCTGTTTATTCACGATATATAGCAGAAGGCTGCTTTCTCGAAAATGACAAATATTATAATTTAGCAGTTTTGTATGTTTATTCAGAGTCAGCTTCATCTGATCTTCTCTCAAGGCGTCATCTCTTCACAGGTCTTGGGTCATCTGAAGTCTTCGCAAGAGGCTGGATATAATCAGCAGGAGCAATCTATAGATTACACCAACAAAATGTGAAGGAATCATACTTGGGAACTGACACTTTTTCACAAAGAAGTGGGAAAAACTTGCCAAACCCAGTGAAGAGACTCATTGTGAGAGTGATGTCTCATTACAGGGAGTCTTCAGGTGGTTCTTGTTCTGAATGCGAGAAAGAGAAGGAGAAAAACACAGGAGAAATGGCTAAGTGATGCTCCATCAGATTGCAGTCCTGTGGCATCTGCTCCTTCAACACAGTGCTTCTACACTAGCTAAGACATTTAAATGTAAAATACAGTAATACAGTACAGGTTTACAGATTACTTCTATAATATGGTAGTGGTACATAATACATTTTTGGAAATTTAGCCGAGCATGATTCTGAAATGAAAACTGCTCGCCTATTTAAAAATTTTTTTTTATTCTCACTTAGGTCCATCTGTATCCTTTGCAATAAATCCAAGTCTATTAAATACCTCCCCACCAGCAGAAATCACATTTAAAAGCCTTAATTACACAACGACGAATGAAACTGCATGAAGAGAATGAATAGCATCCCGTAAATGAAGAAGTGAGGAATAATCTAATAATGATCTGTTTTAATGCGCAAGGGAATTTGATTAGCTGTGCTAATAATATAAAATTTTATTCTAGAAATGTCTTACCTTTTAAAAGTTCATCACAGCGGTCTTTTCTGCTGCATCTCTTCGGTGCTGATAGTATGAGCGCTAACTTCCGGGAACACGATCCGCCATTGCTGTAAAAAACTGGTCCATTGGAGTGAATGGAGATGTTGCAACTCTCTCATACGGCTCTGGGTTAGGTTAGGTCTTTATTGTTATTGCATATGTTTATACAACAAAATTCTGATAGAGCAATCTGATTAGCAGCATTAAAATAAAATGCAACAATTTTACACTTTGCATATATACATATGTATTCATATCCAATTACTATTACCTGTTTAAAGGTGCAGTAGGAGATCTTGGAAAATGCTAACTTTAGCCTGATAGCACTGAAAGCGTGTGCCCCACCCTACCTACAAATAGCCGTCCAAAGCCACGCCCCCTGAACGCATGAACGTGAACAGATCAGACGACCAGAGACAACATTACTACAATACATCATGTGTTATTAACCGTTTTTTCAAAAGACAAAATTTTAATTTTGGGGTGGAGTAACCCTTTAACCTATAGTTGCGCTGGCACCAATGAAGTCATGCAGTTAATGCACTTCTAATTCAGTTTTAATGTGCGCCTAGAACGGCTGCAGATGAGGCATTCAGTGCATGGCACGTAGCAAGGTTTTTTTTTGGGTACTCAAAGCGCTTTACATGAAAGGGGGGGAATCTCCTCAACCACCACCAGTGTGCAGCATCCACCTGATAAACAAATAAAATAAAAGACAATAAAAAGAAAACCGGTAAAATAGAAAAATAATAGAGCAAGCTAGTCTTAGAGGCCTTTTTTGCTTTTGTTAATCAGATGTCAGAATTTTTAAGAATAGAATTAGAATAGAGAGTGCTAGAGTTAGAGGGTCAAATAAAGATGGAGGAGATGTGTTTTTAGCCGATTCTTGAAGATGGCTAAGGATGGCTGCTCGGATTGAGTTTGGGAGGTCATACCAGGAGGGAACAGTTAATGTAAAAGTCAGTGAAAGTGATTTTGTACCTCTTTAGGATGAACAATAAAGCGACATTCACTTGCAGAACGCAAGCTTCTAGAGGGCACATAAGTCTGAAGTAATGAATTTAGGTAAAGGGCTGCAGAGCCAGTGGTGGTTTTGTAGGCAAACATTAATGCCTTGAATTTTATGCAAATGTTATTTAAATATATGAACACAGGAAACCGCTGTTAACAGGTTAATGTAACGTTTCCCATTCCATGACTAGTAACATAATGGCAACTACTGTCTGTATAATACTGAGCATGGTTCTTCTAGGAGATAATACTGCACCCTGGGAGGTCAAGCAGGTACTGGCGCTGGAGTAGGCTATTTGCGTGTCGCGTTATCATAAGTGTCCTGTTCATTTTTAATATTGTGGTTATCGTCAATCGCGGTATATCGCGGCACCCCTAATCCATCAAACACAGCTGCCCGCAATTTTCAAGCCATCCTGAAGGTTAGATTTATCAGCTGTATTTGATTAGGGATGAAGCTAAACTCTGCAGGACAGTGGCCTTTGTGAGTCTTTCACACATATTCTCACGGTTGACGACCTGTTGATGGGTGGAGGTGTTCAGAGAAAGAGGAAGCAGAAATGTGAGAGGAGGATATGAGTGTATGTTTATATATGACTGCGATCTGAACTACTGTTTCTCTGAATATCTGTGAGATTAAAGTAAATCAGGAATGCGGGCCGCCATCACAATCACCATCTTCTTCACTCTCTGCCTGATGTCAGGTCAGTTCTTTACTGGTTACTCAACCCTGAGCTTTAACTGATCATTATAATAATATAGAGCAAATTAACTTGTGTTTGGCAGGTCAGGTACTTTGTTTAAGAGTGATTGGCTGCACTGGAGGGAGTGTAATGTTCAAGTGCATCTATAAGTCTGATGAGCAACGTAACGCAAAACCCCCGAACCAGAGAGAGCCTAATGATCAGCATAAAGGAAAGTATTTCTGCGGAAACAGAGACTGTACGACAGGAATCAGTACTGAGACTCAGCGCCGCTGGGATTATAATGAGAGATTCGCTCTGTATGACGATGAAAACAGCAGATTCTTCACAGTGTTTATCAGGCACCTCAGCAGAGAGGATGATGGGAAATACACATGTGGAAACTATCAGAAATGGAGTCATGATGTTGATTTAGTGGTGAACAAAAGTGCGTATGATACTTTATAACTTACTACTTTATTATACTTGTATTATAATTATATTTAAAGGTGCACTACAGAAAAATCAGCTATTGTTCAAATTCATAACTCAGTGTTATGACTGCCTCACTGCATTATAATAATTCACAACAGTATAATAATGATTTATAATTTGAGCTGACTGAAATGTCAGTTTAACATCAGTCATATTTGTGAGGTCACAGAAAGAAGATGGTCTACTAAAATTTACTTGTTCATTTGACTTTTTTTTCTGGATATTTGCCTTGTTTTTCTCTCACTGTCTTGATGTAGGATGACAGATCTCTGTCATGTTTTGATCACAGGTGACCATACAGCACATAGACCTAAAAACATGCACAACACACGTTAATGTAAATAACTCTGCAAGAAACATGACACTGTATCTGTCAAACAGAGATGGCGAAAAAGTTCTCTGTAGTGCATCTATAATAATACTAATAGCATTGTAAGATTTCCATGCATGTCTCAATGGTTTTATTGAAATCATTTTCAGACTCTTCTTCTTGTGGGACGTCTGTTATCCAGACTGCATATATTGGTCAAACAATCACTCTCAGTTGTGAATATGACCATAAGTTTAAAAAACACACCAAAGAAAGGACGACACTGAACTCAATCTCTTCACCGTGACCATAACTGAGCTGAGAGCAGAGGATGCTGGGAAATACTGGTGTGCAGTGAAAGATGCGTTTAACCTTCCCATTGAGCTCATGATCATCATGAAGGATGGTGAGGATGTTTATTTGGGAATAATCTCAATGTTTCTGCTCCTTCTGTAATCAAACTCATCATATTTAATGTTGTGCTCTTCAGCGGTCACTCATGAAGCGTCTGTCGGAGGATCAGCGTCCATCAGCTGTAAACACATCAGGAATCAAGCACAGAGGTTTTTCTGCAGAGGAGATCAGCCAAATATCTGCGTCAGAGACGGATTTCATGTTTCATCAAATAACAGCACAAACGGCAGATTCTCTCTGATTGAAGAAACCTCTGCTGGAGTCTTTACTGTGAAGATCAGCAATCTGAGAGCAGAGGATGCTGGGAAATACTGGTGTGCAGAGGAGAGTTCTGGGTCCTTCATATTCACTGAAGTGCAGCTACACATGACCAGAGGTAAAACACTCCTTTAACCTAAAAATTAGTAATTAATTACTTGGTAACTTGCCAATACTGAACAGTAGAATATATTGCAATCTTCTCAAAAATAAAATGAAAATAGATGAATTGATTGGTTGATTGATTATACACTGCACTTCTGTTTCTAGAAATTCTTTCTTTCTTCAGATAAACACAAAAGAAGGTATTTTGAGAAATGTTGTTTGTCCATGCTACGGAAGTCAGTGGAGTTCAAAGTAATATGTTTACCAACGCTCTTCAAAATATCTTCTTTTGTGCTCCACTGAAGAAAATAATTCAAACAAAAGTCATATAAAGTCATGAGGTTGAGCAAATGATGACAGAATTGTATGTTTGTAGTGTACTGTCCCTTTAAAGCAGCATGCTGTGTAAAGTCTGCAGCGTCAGTCTAAGTGTGAACAGTTATTTTCACACCAGCTTTACACCACAGACCACTGTTTATGTGTTTAAGTCAAACAGAAATTAAAGCTGGCTGCTTGTTTGTGTTTTAATTCTGTAAGGTACAGAAAAAAAGCATTTTTATTACAGATATATTTTATTGCAGTCAGTTTACCAAGAAACGACTTTCACCTTCCGGTCATTCCAGATCAGTTGGACCTGGTGTTGCTTGTTTTGTGGAGCATAAACAATGTTTTTTTAAACTTTGACAGCTGCTTTCCATACAATGAAAACACATAATTGATCTAAATGTAAATCTTTTTAGCTCTTTTGCTCATTGCTCATTCTAAAGCATATTCAGACAGGTTTGACACTGGTGAAGCCAAACATCACCGTTTCTGTAACCAATGATATCCAAGAATACACCAAGCATGAATATACACAAGTTCTTTTCTTTAAATAATCATAGATATGTGTTCACTCCTCACACAGTATCATACAGCTTAGGAAGACTTCAAATGAGTCACGTGGGATATTTTACAGCACTTTTTATGGTGTTTTTTTGTCCTTTTTGGAGCTTGACAGTTACTGTCTGCTTCAGAAAATATCTTCAAACAATCACATTTTGTGTTTACAATTTCAGAATTGGTTCCTCTAATTTATTGAACAATCAGTGCTCTATGATTGTGCATTTTCAGAAATGACGACATCTGACACCAAAAGAGAAACATCCCAGGATAAAGAAAAGCCTGGTAAGTCTGCTTCTCAGTTTGAGTTGAAAGTGATATTTAGAAAAATGGGATCATTGGATGTACAGCATGTGCAAAATGTGTAAGAATAATTTTTATTTATTTATTTTATTTTATTTTTTTTTAAGAAATGACCTCGTCTGGCACCAAAAAGGAAGCAATCCAGGAAACAGAAAAGCCTGGTGAGATCCACCAACTCTTTTTCTCGTTATGCTGAAGCTCTTCTGTTCTTGCACTTATTCAGACAGGTTTGACACTGCTGAAGCCAAACATCACGTTTTTATTTATTGATTATCATTTTTGGAGATCGTCAGCCTGTAGATGTGTTCTGTCTTTTTTTTTTTTTTTAGAAAACATTTTGTGTTTCACAGAAGAGCTGAATAAATGAAGACAGTTTGTTTTAATTTATTGACACCATTTGACTGGGTTGTTTGCCTTTTGGTGTCAGAAGAGGTAATTTCTGAAGAAAAAAAAAACATACACACACACAATTGTAAACAACCCAGGAAACAGGTAAGTCTGGTGAGATCCAATAACTCAATTTCTCAATATGAGTTAAAAGTGATATGACATGTCAGATGTATGTAAGTGCATGAATGTTTGTCAGTGAATGTCATGGACTCACCTTATTTCTCAGTGACAATCCCTTTGTGTGATTTTAGGTTTCTTCTGTCAGCTTCCAGAAGCATGAAGAGTCTCTCAGTGATGCTACAGTCTGCACTTTGGCCTTCTCACTGGTGCCATTTCATACATATCTGGTTTCAGAAATCACAATTAGATTTTTGCTTTTATATCTAAAGATTTTGTTTTAAAACTTGTCATGTCACAGAAAAACTGCAAAAGATAATTAAGGTACTGAGGTCACTGTTGGAAAAAAGCTGAAATATTTCTTTAAGTGACTTTTGATTGTACAGCTTTCTAGAAAGAAAACTTTGGCTTCTTGTGCTGAAAAATGTGAGCAAGCTACAATGTTTAAGTGATTTCGCTTGTTTGTAAACTAAATGTGTTTCTTTAATTTGTAAAATGTGTGCAAGAATATATTTGGAATGGTGGACATTTTCTTTTAATAAATGAATTTGATGTCATACATGTCAGTTTACTTTATTCATTTTATCAGGAAGTCCCACTGACAAAAAAAAAAAAACTTTTCTACAAGAGAGAGCGAGTGGGTCATGCAAACTAACAACATAGGAATAAAATGTAACATAGCATGTACAGCATAATTTACTAAATATTTATTCCATGGTCTGTCTGAATGCTGAATGCTGGATTCTGATTGGTTGGCAGGTATGCAGTAAAACCGTTTAATGCACTTACTAAATATTTATTCCATGGTCTGTCTGAATGCTGAATGCTGGATTCTGATTGGCTGGCAGGTATGCAGTAAAACCGTTTAATGCACAGGTAGTTCCAAGTCAGTTTAATCACCGTTCCATATTAATGCACTGCTTTAAGACGCCGTGTCAAGTTAAAAGAATTTAAACGTTTACACACAGCGCCGCTCATCAACGTCAGTTCCAATGCAGTGGACCAATCAGAAGAACTTGGAGGTGGGTCAAGCGTTGCCAGCTTCTGTTTACAGTAGCAAGTTGGCATGACAACCGTTTTATTTGACGGCAACATGGCGGAGGAGGTGCTCATAGTGGCGGTGTCCGGATACCCCGAATTATATAACATTTCTTCAAGCGATTATCACAACTTGTTCCTTAAAAAAAGAGCTTGGAATTCGTATATATCAATTCTGCTGTTTGCCTATTTCTATTATTTCCGTTACTGTCGTTATTGCATCACATACAGTGATCTGTAGCGTTGACCAGATGGCAACAGTTCAAAGAGGGAGTGTGCTGGATGTAAGGGGTCCAGAGTGATTTTGCCAGCCGTTTTGCTCACTCTGGATAAGTACAGTTCTTGAAGAGTAGGGATGGTTGTACCAATGATTCGCTCAGCAGTCCGGACTTGCTTCTGTAGTCTTCTGAGGTCAGATTTGGTAGCTGAGCTGAACCAGACAGTTATTGAAGTGCAGAGGATGGATTCAA